ACAAACACCAAAACACGTAAAATAAATGCCAGCGATGATGGCTCTTGCCTTTAACTCTAGCACTCAGGAAAGAGAGGCAGTAGGCTCTCTACGAGTTCAAGGCGAGTCTGTGAATAGCCAGGACTACACGGAGGAAACCCTATCTCAAAAAAAGAACTAAATAAAAGAAAAGAAAGAAGAAAGAGGCCGGGCGGTGGTGGTGCACACCTTTAATCCCAGCACTTGGGAGGCAGAGGCAGGCGGATTTCTGAGTTCGAGGCCAGCCTGGTCTACCGAGTGAGTTTCAGGACAGCCAGGACTACACAGAGAAACCCTGTCTCAAAAAACAAAAAGCAAAAAAAAAAAAAAAGAAAGAAAGAAAGACAGAGAGAGAGAGAGAGAGAGAGAGAGAGAGAGAGAGAGAAAGAAAGAAACGAGAGGAAGAGGGAAGGGGTTGGGGGGAGGAAGGAAGGAAAGACCACAGTTAATAGAATAGGCCAGGAATTGCATTCTGCACATAACAATACACTTTCCCAGGCTTCCCTAGGTGCCAAGAGAAGATGAATAAACAGGAAGAACAGTGGCCTGTGCAGGTGCAGGTGTACATGCAGGTACAGATGCTGGTGCAGGTGCTGGTGCAGGTATACATGCAGGTTGCAGGTGCTGGTGCAGGTGCTAGTGCAGGTCAATGTAGCCCCCCACACCTGTGATACCAGGAAGCCAAGGCAGGAGGGCTGCTGAAGTTTGAGATCTCTTTGGTCTACATAGGGTTTTCCAGTTTCCAATTTTGGCTACATAGTTACAGGCTGTTTCAAACAAAACAAAACAAAACAAAAACAGAAAAAGTCTGAAAACAGTGCAATACACAATTGGAATCAATAGGGGGTCAGCCGGGTAAATTATTGAGCAGAACAGGAAATTGCTGTGAAAGGTAATTAAGCACAGCTGAGGGAGTAACTCAGCCATAGAGTGCTTGACTGCTAATGCAAAACCTTGGGTTAGAGTGCCAGTACAGAGTGGGGAAAAGCAAATCAGAACACAGTTGAGAGGTGGTGGCAGATGCCTTTAGGGTCAGCACTAGGGAGGCAGAGGCCAGAAGATCTCTGAGTTCTATGCCAGTCTGGTCCACAAAGAGAGTTCAAGGACAACTGGGGAGAGAGAGAGAGAGAGAGAGAGAGAGAGAGAGAGAGAGAGAGAGAGAGAGAGAGAGAGAGAGAGAGAGA